CCTCGCGGACGCGGTCCCGGGCGGGCCGAGGGCGTCCTGGCGGGAGAGAGAGAGAGAGAGAGAGAGGGAGCGGCGCGCACGGCCGGGGGAGACGGAGAAGGCCCGTGGCCAGGGTGTGCGGGAGCCGGCGGCGCGCGCAAGGCGGGGTAGGAGGAGGGGAGATGGTTCTAGTTGAGGGATGAAAAAACGGCCCTACCCTGGGTTACAAGTGCGTGGTCTGTAAAACTCCTGGGAACCCCCAAAGCCTAGAGCCGCCAGGACGGACGCGGCACATCACGCAGGGTTTACCCTGTCAGCCCACAGGAGTTTCAGCGCACAGCGCCTCGTAAACCAGGGTAGGGGCGTTTTTTTATGCCAGGGGAGCGAACAATGACATAAGCATACAAACTCGGAGGTCCGCGCGGATTTCTCGGATCGGCGCTGGGGCCCGGCAGCGCCTCCGACGCCGCCCCTGGCGCGATCCGCGCGCCAGGGAGGGGGGGGTCCAGCACGGATCCCAGAGATCCACGCGGATCTCCGAGCTTTCATGTTTTTTATGCCAGTTTTTCGTTGCCCTATTCGAGGGCGCGGGCCTGACATCTGTAGATGAGACCCGCGCCTTCTCAGAAGCAGGGTGCTTCTGAGACGCCTCCCCCCCCCCTCCTCTTCCCCCTCCTCCTCCTCCTCCTCCTCCTCCTCCTCCTCCTCCTCCTCCTCCTCCTCTCCTCCTCGTCCTCCTCGTCCTCTTCCTCCTTTCCTCCTCCTCCTCCTCCTCCTCCTCCTCCTCCTCCTCCTCCTCCTCCTCCTCCTCCTCCCCCTCCCCCTCCCCCGATGTCCCGCTCTGCGCGTGGCTCCGAGAGAGGCTGCACCACGATTTTCTCGTAGCTCACGGCCTCCCTCTCCGACGCAGTCGTCCGCGGGTGATATCTATGATCTCCAGTCGGACCCCAAGGCCAGCAGAGCATCCCTCTGGAACATTTTTTTGGTCGGCGGGGCGAGAGCGAACCTCTTCCGCTAAAAGCTAGGCGGGCTACGCAAAGCTCTAATTGGGGAGACAGGGCACAGGCGGGCGGGGCCTCAGGCGGCTGGAGAGGGCGGGGCCCAGCATCCCTCTAGAACACGAGGCCCTGCGTCGGCAAAACATTCAGAACAGCCAAGGGCACCACCCCCAAGATGCACAAGAGCATCAAGCACGAAGAACACTGGGGCACCCTCCCCGAACCGACCTCGATCTTGCGCCTTCGTCCGACTGCAGCTCGGAGGCATGCGAGGTGCTGGCGGCCCCGCACCGCCGATTCCGCCCCAGCCCCCATCACGCCGCGGCGGTGGCGACCCTCGCCGCAGCGACGAGGTCGGCGAAGAAGAAGTGGCGCGCCTTGCTCGCGCACGTGCCGGGCGCCTGGCCACCGCCGCTCATTTGCCTGGCGATGTCCGCGCCGCCGTGCTCTCCGTGCATGGGCCGCGGTGCCAGCGGCGACATCTCTTCTGCACAGCGGCCGCCCGCCAGGGCGGTCCCGGGTCCACCTGCCAGCAGCTCGCGATACCGCGCCTGGAAGGGGTGCGCCTCGGAGCCGACCGCGAGCCTCTCCCCCCACTCTGCGTTCACAGTGCTGGCGAAGCCGCCCTCCTCCTCGATGATGCCCCGTATCTTCTGGAGCTTCTTCCGCGGCGCTGCCTGCTGCGCCCTCAGGATCTGCGTGGCGTTCTCCTCCTGGTACCGCTCGATCTCGCGCTCGGTCTCCTTGACCTGTTCCTGCGAAACTGGGTTCACCAGCTTGTAAATCGTGTCCTCCCGATGCGTCAGATACTCGTTGTACGCATCCGCCGATGCGAAGTCATCCTCGCTCTTGCAGAAGATCTTGCAGATCCGCTGCCTCACTTTGACCTCGTTCTCCACCTGCCTGTCCTCCCGCGACTGCTCCGAGAAGTCCTCGGCCCGCAGCTCCTCGTCGCACACGGGGCAGCGCCGCCGCGCCTGCCCGCGCCAGAGCCGCTTGACGCACAGCTCGCAGACCTGGTGGTCGCACGCGGCGGCGAACAGCACGCGCACGTCGGGGTTGTGGTAGTAGTCCACGGAGCACGCCGAGCACTGGCGCATCGCGGCCGCCCTCCCAAAGGTGTCGTGGCGCCGCGGGTTGCGAATTAGGTTGCAGGGTCCTGAGCCGAGCGGTTGCGCAGAGGTGCAGGTGATGAGCGGCGAGCCCGGGGGGGAAGTGGGGAGGGGGCGGGCCTTCCCAGAGGCTCGCAAGTCCCCTGGCCTCCCGAGAAGGTTCCTGGGCCTGCCCCGAAGACCCCGAAAACCTCTCAGAAGGCCGGAGGCCGTCCAACAAGCCACGCCGCCTTCTGAGGAGGCTTTCTCCTTCTCACTTCCCCCCCTCTCGGCTACAATGATTAGGCATAAAAGGACCCCTAACCCTTTGGGAGGCGAATTCAATTTGGAGGGCCAGGAACATCAGGGATAAGGGGGTTTTGGCTGCAGATGCACCGAGCCAAACCGCCCAGATGTATCAGCCCTCATGCAAAAAAGGGGACCTCAGTGAGGCCACGTCTTCATCGTTTTATCAGGGTTAGGGTTAGGTCGGGCATGTCCTCCTACAGGCGGATTTTGGAAGAAAGATGAAACATAGTCCTATAAGGCTCACACATAGGCAAAACTAGTAGAACAAAATCGTCCCCTGACTTTTTTGTAACTATTTTTGAATACTCCTCCTGTAGAGGGACACGCCCGATTTAAGATTGAGGGGTGATTTTGTCCTCGATGATACACACGTGTGAGGGGCAACGATAGGGGGGGACTGGCACAGGGGGGATGCATCGACCTGGAATCGGCGATACATCGCCGATTGATCGGCGATAGGGCCCCCCCGTTAGTAAGTCCGCACCTTCCTGGGCAGGTTGGGGCTATCGGGCCCCTATCGGCGATCAGTGGGCGATTGGGGGTCGATGCATCCCCCCCCATGTGCCGATCGGGTGTCGATTGGGGGGCGATTGGGGATCGATTGGGGGGAGATGGAAGGTCGATGGGGGGGCAAATTGTGGGTCGATGCCTTTCCCCCCCCCTCTCGTTGTCACTGAACGTGCAGGCGCGACCCCCGGCAAGAAGAGTGACCTCTGGGGTGCACGGCCTTCGGGGGGCCACGGGGGAGGGCCGGGCCCGCGCGCGCGCGCAGGCCACCGCTGTCTCGCAGCAGCACCCTCGGCGATCGAGGGGCCCCAGCGCAAAGGGGGCCCGAGGACGCGCAAACAAATACACACGAATCCCAGGATCCCCCATGTGTCCCCCCAGATCTGCGGATTTTTGCTCGTCCTCCCAACTGCGTCCCCCTATTTTCTGGGTCTTCGTCTTCCCCCCCCCCCCCGCACTCCCCATACTTTCCCAGATGCTCCGGGGGATCGGGGATCGACGATTCATAGTGTCTGTGGGCTTTGCCCCCCCCCGGACCAGAGGCCACTCTGGCGAAGGGCCACCCTTACATGCAGTCGACTCGAACCCAATGGCCACTCTCGGGTCGGGCGAAAGGGGGGGGATAGTAAAGGCGGGGTTTGAGAATCAGCTCACGTAGCTGATTTTCCCGGCGCCGGAGGCGACTGTGCATCGAGGAATGGGCCCCTCGGCGGTGAGGCCGAAACCAGCTGCATGCAGCAAATTTCGTAACCCCCCCTTTCCCAATCCCCCGCTTTCGCCCGGCCCGACACTCCGGCGAAGGGCCACCCGGACGTGCAGTCGACCCCTCGCGCGCCGCCGGGATGACCCGGGAGCGAAGGCCCCCGCCTCGACCCAAAGGTCCAGCCGCGCGCTCTCTCGAGGCGCGCCGCCCCCCCCCCCCCGCTGATGGGCCGATTTTCCGCCACCACTACCACAAGTAGGAGGAGGAGGAGGAGGAGGAGGAGGAGGAGGAGGAGGAGGATGGAGGAGGAGGGGGAGGAGGAGGGGAGGAGGAGGAGGAAGAGGAGGAGGAGGAGGAGGAGGAGGAGGAGGAGGATGGAGAAGGAGGAGAAGGAGGACGAGGAGGAGGACGAGGATGGAGGAGGAGGAGGAGGAGGAGGACGACGAGGAGGAGGAGGAGGAGGAGGAGGAGGAGGATGGAGGAGGAGGGGGAGGAGGAGGGGGGAGGAGGAGGAGGGAGGAGAGGAGGAGGAGGAGGAGGAGGAGGAGGATGGAGAAGGAGGAGAAGGAGGACGAGGAGGAGGACGAGGATGGAGGAGGAGGAGGAGGACGAGGATGGAGAAGGAGGAGGAGGAGGAGGACGAGGAGGAGGACGAGGATGGAGGAGGAGGAGGAGGAGGAGGAGGACGAGGACGAGGAGGAGGAGGAGGACCTCCCCGGCATCCCTCCTCCCCCGTCCTACCTATTGCGGTTGTGGTGCCCAACACCACCTCCTGGAGGTCTCGACCCTCTCCCCGGGGCTCCAGCTCTTTTGTCGACCCGAGCCGCTCTTGTTCGGACGGCCCCGGGGCCCGCTGGCTGGCCTCTGGAGAGCCAAAACGACGACACCCCGCCCGTCTCGACTGTCTCGAGACGCCGGATCTCTGGGAGCCCTGTGAGCCCATTGAGCTCTATGAGCCCGACGATATGACCCCTGGGGGCCCCAACGAGTCCTGTGAGCCGCATGGGCCCTGTGAGCCCTGTCAGCCCTAGGAGCTCCATGAGCCCCATGAGCCCTACCAGCCCTGCGAGCCGTATGGGCTCACCTTATGGGCCCTGTGAGCCCTGTGAGCCTTGTGAGCCCCAGGGGCCCTGTGAGCGCGAGAGCCCAAGCCTCGAGGGGAGGCCCGGCGCGGAGCCAGCCTCGGTGGAGGGGCCCAGGGACACACACACACACACACACAGATAGACAGATAGACCTCGTAGCCCAGGCCTCCCGTGGCCCAAATCCCAACCTTCCCGCCCGCTGGGCCCATAGCGCGAAGCCCAGGACTCCCAAGGTGCTCCATATTCTCAAAACGTTCGTCTTCCCGTCCACTTCTTGGGGGTCCCAAAACCGTGTGGTGACAAACCCGGCGGTGACCTCGAAATCCGCAAAGACCTCACCGCACGGTCCGTCACCACACGGTTTTGGGACCCTGGAGGCTCCAATCGCCCGAGACATCCTCGGAGAACGACCCAAGTCCCAAAACCGTGCGGTGACCCCGAATCCCCACCGACTCACCGCACGGTGTGGTCACCACCCCGTTTGGGGGCCCCCGAACTTCCCATGTGCTCCATGATCTTCCGGGGGGGCTCGAGTCCCGCTGGCGCCGGCTCGCGTGCGAAGGCCCGCGGTGGGCGGCGCTGGGGCCCGAGAAGACGAGGGGCCTCGAGAGCCGGCCTCTCCCGAGGTGCGCTCGGACCAGGGCTGCGAGGCGAACCCGGCCGTGGAGGCGACGATGGAGCGGCACCAGTGCTGGTAACTGCGTGGTCGTTCTCGGCAACACACACAAACAAACAAACAAACATCATGTCGTTTCGAGCGGTCCCCGCCGAAAGCTTCGGCGTGTGTTCCCGAGTCTGGTACTGTTTGTTACTGTGGCCAGCCTGAGCTCGGCGCGCACATCGTGTTTGACAAGACGCCGTTACTCGGTCGCTACTGCATTCTACCCTATCACGCTATGCTCGGTGTTGTTCTGTTATATCATCCATACATGGGTGATTTCCGGGGACAGCCCTACGTCGGCTTGCATGTTGCATTTGACAGGGCCCCGTTAATCGGTCGCTGGTACATTCGACCATCTTCCACTATGGTATACTCCCTTTTGCTACAGTATGTTATGTGATGTTACGCTATGTTATGTTCTGGACGGGCCGGCGTTACGTCGTGACGCCTGTCACGTTGGATGCGTCGTCCAATCGGTCGTTGCTGTCATGGCGACTTGATCGGTCGCTGATGTTGTCTTCTCTGTTGTATGCAACAATGACCGATTCTGGACGATTTGACGAAGTTTGATGACGTAATGGTATGCGATGTCCTCCTCGACTGTGTTATTACACTATACCCTGCTATGTTGCGTGACGTTAACTCGCTTCTATACGACACGACTGAACAACTTTGTTGTGCACGCTGCTGAAAGATGGTGCGCCCGCTTGTGCTCGGAATTCATTATAAACGTAATCTCCAATGCTACTATGATTCTGCTCTCGTGTGTGCACAATGAATGCCTGTTCTGATATTTCAATCCTGCACATTATTCCGAGATTGCGCTGCAGTTAATGTGCGTGTTACACTCCTCTCCACAGCTCCACGAGAGCGCAGTATGATGCATGCACGGTGTGTTACGTGTGTGATGCTTGCTCTTCCCATGTGCTGTGCGATGGTCTTGTCAGGCACAGTCTCTCTCTCTCTCTCTCTCTCTCTCCTTGATCTAAGAGATCAGCCGCCGTGCCTCCATGCGCGGAGTGGGCGTGTCCTCCGCCCCGGGGAGCCTGTCGCGGGCCCGGGCCCCAAAGTTCTCGGATCTGCCCGGGCTTCCCGCGTGCCGCCTGGGACCCGTCGCGGCCTGTCGCAGGACTCCTTCGGGCCCATGCGAGCCCCAGGACGGGCCAAGAGAGCCCCCCGAGGCTCCCAAGACGGTCCAAGAGGGCCCCGCGTCGCCGACCAAGAGGGCCTCAAGATGGCCAAGAGGCCCCCAAGACCGCCCCAAAACGGCCAAAGAGGCCTCCAAGATCCCCAAGACGGCCCAAGAGGCGCCCAACACGATCGAAGAGGGCTCAAGACGGCCCCAAAAGGGGCCCAAGAGAGGGAAGACGAACCGAAAATTCTAACATTCCGCCCCAGAGACCCCCAGGAGGCCCCAAGAGGCCCCCAAGAGACTCGCAAGAGACCCCCAGAGGCGCCCAAGAGGCCCAAAAGAGGCCCCAAGATGCTCCAAAACGCCTCTCAAGAGGCCTCAAAACTGCCTCCAGGAGGCCCCCGAGAGAGAGAGAGATCTCCCACGAGACCCCAACGAACATCCAATAGGCTTCATACAACCCAGGCACGAAGGCAGGATGGCAGGATGAGCCGAAGGCCATTCGATACCATGTGATATGTTTGTGCACTACTCTGTGTCCTGTTCTGCTATACCAAATGCAACGTATGACACTAGACAACGATGTTGTACTTCACTGTATGGCTTTACTCTGATACGGTATACTATGTTGTGTGTTGTGGTGTTCGCTATCGCAGTGGTGCCAGACGCAGAACACTTTGGTATGTCATGCTACGCTATGCTATGGTATGCCCCCTCTGCCACAGTATTGCGTGTTATATCGTGGTAGGTTGTTTTCTGGAATGGTGTGATGATACGAGATGGTCTGTCATGGTATGATATGTTATGGTATGGTGTGGTAAGAGGTGAGGTGGTATGTTATTCGGTGTGAACTATAGTACGGTGTGCGATGCTATGTGATTGGGAGTCTACACACACATATGATTCGCATTATATGTCATACTGGAATCGCTGTCGTAGTGGTAGCAGCCATGGAACACGTATGGTAGATCAGTTTATGCGATGCGGCGCTAGGCAATGTCATAATCACGCCATACGATACGATGTTGTATAACATCCTGTTATATTGATCCCAACGATTGATCTTTCATGATATTGCATAGTGTTTAATGCTGTCCTATGATGTGATCGAATAGTTGTCTTATGGCGCACGGTTTTACGAATTGGCCATTCTACTGCGGTGTGCTATGTTGTGCACTGACACGCTCTGTTAAATATGTCAAAATGTGTTTGTTATGATATGTGTGTCCGCGTTTGCTGTGTAGTCTTGATGCTGGTGCTTCATGCCTTTCCTCACGCGTCGTGAGGCCTGGACGGCGTGACGCCGTGACGCCTCCCCCTGGGGGGGTCTGGTACGCAGGGTGTCGTCGTTCGTCGCGGGCGCCAGGCGGGACACTCGAGGATCCCCGGGATCCCGTGGTGCCCGGCGACCGCGGCGTGGTGCCGTCGTCCGTCGAGGACGCGAGGCGGGATGCTCAGGGACTCCCGGGGCCCTGTGGGGTCTGGCGGCCGCTGTGTGCAGGGTTGGCGAAAGAGAGCTCTCTTCTCAAAATATAAGAGCCCCTGTGTCGCCGCCAGGGGGGCTCCAGCGTCGGAGCCCCACCCCCCCCCCGTCCCTTGGGACGGAGGGGGGAGGAGGAGGAGGAGGAGGAGGAGGAGGAGGAGGAGGAGGAGGAGGAGGAGGAGGAGGAGGAGGAGGAGGGGGAGGGGGAGAAGGAGGAGGGGGAGGGGGAGGAGGAGGAGGGGAAAGGCTGTCGCAGGGCCGCACGGGCCCCCTGTGTCGCCGCCAGGAGGGGCTCCGGCGCCGACCCAGGGAAGTGCGGGAGGACCCACGACGGTTTCTGATTGCGCCGTTGGCTGTGGCGTCGTGCTTCGATGGATGGCCTCGCTACACAGGGCCCCCGCTCTCGCCATCGCTCGGACGTCCATCTCCCGTGCATTTTTCGGTATCGTGCGTGTTTTTTTGCTCGACGTCCAGGATCGTCCTCAGTGGTCCTCGCCGGGAAAAAATGCACACGTCCGAGCGATGCCAGGAGCTCTGGAGAGGTGCGACGCAAGAGCAAACACGAGTACGGCTGGAACAGCGCAAGAACAAGCATCAGTGCACCAGGCCCCGGGGCGCCTGCTCCAAGTTTCGCCACCAGTGGCGAAAACACGCACTGGCGCACGGTTGCCGACAGCCCCCTCCCCCAGCAACAGCGCAACAGCAAAAGAACACGCCTCCACTGCAGAGCAACGACAGCCAACGTGTTCCTTTCACATCCTGACGCACTCCTACAGCGGGAGTGATACGAGGACTCCTGGCGCATACTTCCTCGGCTGGCAGTTACGGCACTGAGAGCTGCAGTGGGAACTGTAGTAGGAGCTGAAGTGTGAGCTGTATTGGGCTGTAGTGCGGGCACTAATGGGAGCTGCATGCAGTGGGATCCGCACGGGTTCTGCAAGAGGAGCCCTAGTACGAGCTGTCATAGAAGCTGTGGTAGCAGCTGCAGCACGATGTTGAATGGGAACTGCAATAGTAGCTGACCTGGCAGGCGAAGCGGGCGCTCTAGAGAGAGCTGCAGTAGGAGCTGCAGTAGGAGCTGTAGTAGGGGCTGCACTGGGACATGCAATAGGAACTGGAGTGGGAGCTGCAGTGGGAGCTATAGTGGGAGCTGTGGCAGAAGCTGCAATAGGATCTGTAGTGGGATCTCCAGATGATCTGTAGTAGGAGATGCAATGGGAACCGTAGTAGGAGCTGCAGTGGCAGCTGCAGCGTGAGTTGTGGTAGGAGCTGTGGTGGGAACTGTAGCTGGAACGTTCAAGTGAGCTCTAGCACACGAGCTGCAGTGGGAGCTGCAGCAGGAACTGCACTAGGAGCTGCAGTTGGAGTTATAGTGGGAGCAGCAGTGGGACCTGCTGTTCGAGCTGTACCAGGAGCTCTAGGAGGCGCTGTAGTAAGAGCTGAAGTAGGAGCTGTACTTGGACCTGTAGGGGAGACTCTCTAATGGCAGCTGTAGTGGGAGATGTGGAAGGAGCTATAGTGTAGCTGTAATGCGAAATGGAACGGGAGCTGTAGTGGAACCTGTTGTGAGATCTGCAGCGGGAGCTGCATCAGGACCTGTTGTGGCAGTTGAAATGGACGCTGCACGACGGGCTGTGGTGGGATGAGTAGTCGGTGGGGTGTGCAGTAAGAACTGTAGTTGGAGCTACAGTGGGAGCTGTAGTAAGAGCTGAAGTGTGAGCTGTGTATTGGGCTGTAGAGCACTCAGAGGAGCTGTCGTGGGACCAGCCCTGGCTCTGTAATAAGAGCTCTAGTACGGACTGTAAAAAAGCTGCAGTGGGAGCTGCAATAAGAGCTGCAACAGGATGTGTAGTGGGAAATGTAAAAGTAGCTGAACTGGCAGCAGCTGCGGGAGCTGCAGTGAGAACTGCAATCGGAGTTGCAGTAGAAGCTGCTGTAAAGGCTGCGCTGGGACATGCAATAGGAACTGCAGTGGGAGCTGCAATGGGAGCTGTAGTGGGAGCTGTGGCAGGAGCTGCAGTGGGACCTGCAGTGGGATCTGTGAATGCAATGAAACCTGTAGAAGGCGATACAATGGGAACTGTAGTAGGAGCTGCAGTGACAGCTGTAATGGGAGCTGTGGCAGAAGCTGCGGTGGGAACTATAGCTGAAACATTGGTAGGAGCTGTGGCAAAAGAGCTGCAGTGGGAGCTGCAGCAGGAACTGCACTAGGAGCTGTAGTGGGAATTGTAGTGGGAGCAGCAGTGGGACCGTAATGCGAGCTGTCCTAGGAACTGTAGGGGAAGCTGCAGTAAGAGTTGACTCAGGAGCTGTTCTTCGACCTGTAGTGGGGAACTCTAACAAGACCTGCAGTGGCAGCTGTAGTGAGAGCTGTGGGAGGGGCTGAAGTGGGAACTAGACTAGAACTTGAAGTAGGAGCTGCAACGCGAGATGCAATGGGAGTTGTAGTGGGACCCGTTGTAAGATCTGCAGCGCGAGCTGCATCAGGACCTGTAGTGACAGCTGCAATGGACGCTGTATGACGGCTTGTAGTGGGAGGGGTCAGTGGGTGGGATGTTCAATAAGAACTGTAGCTGGAGCTACAGTGGAAGCTGTGCTATGAGCTGAAGTGTGACCTGTAGTAAGCTGCAGAACACTAGTAGGAGCTGCAGTGGGACCAGCACTGGTTCTGCAGTCCGAGCTCCAGTACGAGCTGGAATAGGAGCTGTAGTCGAAGCTGTAGTAAGAGCCGCAGCAGCATGTGTAGCGGGAATTGTACTAGTAGCTGAGCTGGCAGCAGCTGCGGGAGCTGCAGTGAGAACTGCAGTAGGAGCTGCAATAGAAGCTGTAGTAGGGGCTGCAGTGGGACATGCAATAGGAACTGGAGTGGGAGCTCCAGTGGGAGTTGTAGTGGGAGCTGCGGCAGGAGCTGCAAAAGGACCTGTAGTGGGAGCTGTTGATGTAATGAGATCTGCGATAGGAGATGCAATGGGAACCGTAGTAGGAGCTAGCAGCAGCTGCAGTCTGACTTGTGGTAGGAGCTGTGGTGGGAACTGTAGCTGGAACGTTGGTAGGAGCCGTAGCGAAAGGGCTGCAGTGGCAGCTGCAGCAGGACCTGCACCAGGAGCTGCAGTGGGAGCAGCAGTGGGGGCCGCATTGGGAGCTGTACTGGGAGCTGCAGGGGGAACTGCAGTAAGAGCTGCACTAGGAGCTGTACGTGAGGGGGAGCTCTAACAAGACCTCTGGTGGCAGCTGCAATGGGAGTTGTGTGGGAGGAGCTGAGGTGGGAAGTAGACTAGGACTTGAAGCAGGAGCTGCAATGCGAGATGCAATGGCAGCTGTAGTGGGACTTGCTGTAAGACCTGCAGCAGGATCTGCAGCAGGACCTGTAGTGGCGGCTGCAATGGATGCTGCACGATGGGCTGTAGTGAGATGAACAATACTTGGGATGTTCAGTAAGAACTGCCGTCGGAGCTGTAGTGGGAGCTGTTGTAGGACCTGTGGTTGAACAGCAATGGGATCTGCAATGGGAGCCGAAAGGAAATGCTGTAGGAACTGTAGTGGGAGCTGTGCTTCAAGCTGTAATCGGAACTGCAATGGAAGGTGAAGTGGGAGCTGTGGTAGATGTAGTGGGAGCTGTGGTTGTACTTGTGGTGGGAGACGTAATGCGAATTGCAGTAGGAACTCTGGCAGAAGCTGTAGTGCAAGCTGCTGTGGTAGCTGCAGTGGGAGGCAAAGTAGGTGCTGCAGCAGACGCTGCACTAGACAACCTCGTTGAATGGGTGGAGTGTCCTCAGGTCCATTCGAGGCATCCGTGTGGAATCGTGTGCAGCGCGGGCGCGGCCGCAGGAAAACCCAACCCTGAGAACCCGCGCGCGAGGTGCAGCTGAGGGGAAACCCGGGGCACCCCGAACGCAGCAGCTCCCTCAACGGCCGCGGGAAGTCCCCCGCGCACCGCGCGGAGCGACGAGACCCAGGGTAGCCTGATGAAAAGTAGATCTCCTGGGGGGGCGGACACAGAGGGTGGGCCTGTTGTCCAGCACCACCACCAGAAGTTGGAGGGGGGAAGGAGGTGGAGGATGAGGATGAGGATGAGGAGGAGGAGGAGGAGGAGGAGGAGGAGGAGGAGGAGGAGGAGGGTACCCTGGATGCGCGCCCCCACTGCAGCAACTCTTTGCGGGCCCGAGGTCCCAGATGTCCTGAAGTGGTGGGCGATCTCCGGCACTCTCGGGCGTTGCTCGCGTGCGTCGCGTGACTTTTTTGCCGCAGGCCGCGGGAGCACGGTTGGAAGTCGTCTCGCCATCCGGCGCGCCGCAAGACGATCCCGAGGGGCGCCCTGAGATTGCCCGAAGGCCACCAGATGCCGCAGGGCTCGAGCATGGGAAGTCGCCGCGAAGTTTGTCCTCCCGAGGAGGAGGAGGAGGAGGAGGAGGAGGAGGAGGAGGAGGAGGAGGAGGAGGGAGGAGGAGGAGGAGGAGGAGGAGGAGGAGGAGGAGGAGGAGGAGGGGGGGGGAGGGGGGGGAGGAGACGGAAGAGGAGGAGGATACAGGAGGAGGAGATACAGGAGGAGGAGGAGGAGGAGGAGGAGGAGGAGGAGGAGGAGGAGGTCAAAATTGTCCTCGACGCGCCCAAGTGGACGACGCCGACACCACGGCAGACCCGCGGCACCCCCCTGCGGTCCCGCGCCCAGCCAGGCGGCGCCGGCAGCGCGGCACACCCACGGCAGGCCCAGGGCGCCCGAGGCGGCATTTGCCCTGGTGCCCGCGGCGCCCTCACGAAGACGAGAGGCCGCGCGTCGGAACAAACGGCGCGGCGGCATATGATAGGGGGGGCCGGAAGAGGACAGAGAGGAAGGTACTGGAAATGCTGCGGGTGCCCACGACCGCCCCACAAGCACACTTGACATGAGCAATCGGGTATGTGCGCGTCGGGTGTTGCGAGGCCACCATGGAGCAGAGGGAAGGACAGCGGAGGTTGGCGGAGGGAGGACGGGGAGGAGGGGACCACAGGTGACGGAAGCTGACGCTAAATAACCCAAGATGGCCTTCAGGATGATGGATGATGTCCTGGATAAGCTGTTAGGAAAGCACCGAGGGTCGGAGGAAAAACAAGCTGGAAGAATGACACTGAACATGTCCAGAGACAGACGCAGTTTGTCAAACACGTAGACGTCCGCCAATCCGTGGACATCCTGAGGAGTCCTGCGGCATCCTAGGGAATCCTGAAGAGCCCTGGCACGCCCTGAAGAATCCTGAGAATTCTGAGAAATCCGGAAGAATCTTGAAGAACCCTGAGGAGCCCTGAGGAATCCGCTGGAATCGCGAGGAATGTCTGGGAGTCCTTTGGCATCCAAGGGAACCCTGAGGAATCCTGAGGAATCCTGAAGGATCCTGTGGGGCCATGAGAGACTCCCCAGGAATCCGGTATAATCTTTTGGAATCCTGTGGATTCCTGAAGCATCCGGAGGAATCTTGTGAAATATGCGGGAAGCCTTTGGAATCCTGGGAATCATCCGAAATTTTCAAGGATCCTCAGACAAACTGAGGGGGGCATATGAGTTTTGAGGAATCCTGCAGAATCCTCCGGAAACTTATGGGATCCTGTGGCCGCCAGCCGAAACAGGCCGCCTTTCTGCGCGGCGCAGTTCCCCTCCCCGCCCACCCCCCGCCGTCCTCCCCTAGGAGGGGGAGGAGAGGGAGAGAGGGTGGGGGAGAAAGCTCAGGGCGAGGGTGAGGAAGGCCCAGTCTGGTCTGACCATCCCCTCCTTTCGCGTCCTCGTCCTTGTCCTTGCTTTGATGGACTATTTCTAGCACGCCGAAGCCATGGTCGACCAATGGCAGCAAAACTGCGCCACCCTGGTCAGGCCCGGATGCAATCACTCGGACGCGCCAATCACGCCGTCGTCGTTGGCACCGGGGTCCTCGGAACGGGGGCCCAAAGAGAAGGGAGCGTCGAATGCGCAGGAGAGCGGCAGACCCGACAGTAACCGCCGGGGACCGACGCTGAGCAGCGTTGATATCCAGCCCCGCCTCTACTGCTTCCACCTCCCTCCTCCCTTCTCCCTCCTCCCTCCTCCTCCCTCATCCTCCTTCCTACCCCCAAGTCATTACAAGTTTGCTTTGGCCTTTGGTGGGTTGGCCTTCCACCTCTTTCTGGGATCAGACGCCCTGGAGGCTGCGCAATCCACCAGAATCACTCCTCATTCCTGCACATCCCTCTTCACTGTTTCATCCTCATGTTTCTCTTCCTCATCCTTCTGTTCCTCCTCCACATCATCCCCTCGTTCGCCTCTGGCACCTCGTCCGCATCATCCTCAACGTCATCATCATTATCATCGCCATAGTCCTCCTCCTTCGCCTCCTCCTCCTCCTCCTCCTCCTCCTCCTCCTCCTCCTCCTCCTCCTCCTCCGCCTCATGCTGCTCCATTGCCGACGCCTCCAGCAGCGACCACGCCCCCAGACTCGCTCCGGGAGACGCCGCTCCGATCCGACCCCTCGTGCTGCGGGCCCGATGAACCGCCGCGGCGGAGGACCAGGGGAGGGGAGGAGGAGGAGGAGGGGGAGGAGGATGAGGAGGATGAGGAGGAGGAGGAGGAGGAGGAGGAGGAGGGAGGAGGGAGGAGGAAGCGTCTCGCGAGACTGCGCGGCCGCTGGCGGCCGCGCCCGCGGGGGCCTGGCCACCACGCCAGCGGCCGCGCCGGCTTGCGAGACGCTTCCCCTCCAGAGGGGGGGGAGGCGGGGCGGAGGAGGAGGGTCGGTCGGGAACCGCGCGAGCCGAGGCCCGCGACAGACGTGCCGGGGGCAGTCGTTGCGAGGCGGGGCCTGGCCCGGAACGGCCCCGCTGTTCTCTGAGGGCCAGGCGTTGCTAGTTGTGTTCCGATGTCCCGCCTCGCGACGAGGAGGAGGAGGAGGAGGAGGAGGAGGAGGAGGAGGAGGAGGAGGAAGAGGAGGAGGAGGAGGAGGAGGAGGAGGAGGAGGAGGAGGAGGAGGGAGGGGAGGGGGAGGAGGAGGAGGAGGAGGAGGAGGAGGAGGAGGAGGAGGAGGAGGAGGAGGAGGAGGAGGAGGAGGAGGAGGAGGAGGAGGAGGAGGAGGAGGAGGAGGAGGAGGAGGAGTGCGCACATCCTCAGGGGAGGTCAGTGACTGGGGTGAGACGGCTAGGCCTTGCGCATTCGCCTCCGTCTGAGCAGGCCTCGCGCGGTGCTCCACGCCGTGGCCGCTGCGGAGCGGGCAGGCCGAGCTCCCCTCTCGATCGCTCGGAGGTTGGACTCGCCCGTCTTCCCAGGGGGGCTTGCATTTCAGAGCTAGACCTCGTAGACCGCCACCTTCCCTTGCCGTCGCTCGGACGTCCATTTCCCGTGCATGTTTCGGTTTCGTGCGTATTTGTTTGTTGCTCGATGGTCCAGGATGGTCCTCGATGGCTCCCGCCGAGAAAAAATACACACGTCCGAGCGATGCCAAGTTCCTTGGCGGCCACAGATCCGCAGAAGGTGCAATAGAACATCGGAGTGATGGGAGGGGCCTGGACAGTGGTGGGCTTCGTGAGGCCTCCGGGTGCCCACCTGGAGGCTCTGGCGGGCCGGTCATGGACGAGAGCCTGAGGCGGGCTCCCGCCAAGACATGGGGAGGCAAGCCAGGCTCTCAACTCCTTAAGGCCTCCATTGGAGGCCTGGAAATTGGAACCAACACCAGCACAGGGGGTTGCCTCCACATAGGAAGATGATCCTCGATTTCGGTGTTGGTGGTAATATTTCGGTCACCTTGGAAGCCAGAATATTACCACCATCACCGAGATCGGGATCGTCTTCCCTCGGTGGAGGCACACCGCCGATCTTGGTGTTGGTGTCACCCTCTGGGCCTGCGACTCCACATTCAGTGCAGCAGAGGCGCCATGATCCTCGGATCCCAACCCCCATCTTTGGGGTATGCTCCGAGGCCATTATGGCCCTCTGGAAACGGGTGAGGCGGGGCTGCGGTGGCGGAGTCTGAGGCTCATCGGCCCTCGGGCGAAGGTCAACCTCCGCGCACGACTCCATCACCACAGCCAATCGATGGCGGGCGAGTGCCGCCAGCTCTTCCACCTCGGTTATCCTGTCAGCGTCGGCAGGCGGGAGTTGGCACCTGGCGGCCGCCTGCTCTGCAAGCTCGTCCGCTGTTTCATAACTGTATCTCCACAGCTCAGGGATATGTAATTCCTGGGCGCGAGCATCGTCGGCATGACTCTCGACTTTGTGCAAGGAGAGCGAGAAACATTCCTGAGCGTGGCATGGCAATCGCCAGAAATCCCTCCACAGGTTACGACTCTTTCGTGGCAATTTGGCTGGGCCCCTGTGGATTCCACGAACAACATAGGAGGAGTCTGTGATACAATGGCAGCTCCTGCCAGCCTCCCCATATTGTCTTAACCATTGGGTGAGGGCCATGAGCTCAGCTCGATTTACGGTCTGGAGCCTACCTGGGAAGGCGCCGCATCGGCCCGCAACGTCCCCGATGGGTCTCTTTAGTGGGGGCGGCGGCGGCAGAGGCCAAATGGACATAGCCCCACCCACGCCTCCGAATGCGGGGGGTCGCTGCTAGAAGGCCCTCCGGTGCCATCTCCCGCTCCCCACCATTCAACCCCCAGGGAGAAACCAGGCGGACCCGGGCCGAAAGTCCATTCCCAGGTGCACAGCTCTTCTGAGGTGGCCGGCACTTCTGTCCAGCCACTCGGGATCATTCCGCGGAGCCAAAAGCATGTCGGCAGCCTCCGCGATGGCGCGATCCCTGAGGTGGTCCGACTTGGAGCATCCACTTATCTCGTCATTGGCAGGGCACTGCCAATAACGGTGGAGCTCGTTTTCTGGGACATTCATCTGGCAACGCTTACAGCAAGCCTGGCCTGGCTCGATTAAGCCAGCCTGGGCCGATCTGTCGCGTTTCCAGGCGCCTGCAGTGCAAATAGACACGAGGGCGCCACGATATCGAGGCGCCGTCGGGATGGGCGACTTGCTAAGCTTATATAAAAGGCGCCTCTGGGTGAGAGTGTCTGCCCACCCCCCCAAACCAGCCCCGGTGTGGTGACGGCTTGCTCCACGCCAGCGCTGGGCGCACAGCGAATGACGGAGCTCGTGCAGAAACGGGTCAGGATCAAGTTCATGGCCAGCCTCTGGGAGGGCGAGTTCCCACTCCTCTCCGCGAGGGGATGTCCAGCGTGCCAAATCGTCCGCGGGGCTCGCAGGCTCCCAGCCTGCGTCGAGAAGCACACAGATGAAGGCCGACATGGGCCCACGGACCCCAGACCAGCGTTGCTGAGGCGAGAGGGCCAACATGCGACGGGCAACAATCGGCCAAGACCTGTGCAGAGAGGACGAGGAGGAGGAGGAGGAGGAGGAGGAGGAGGAGGAGGAGGAGGAGGAGGAGGAGGAGGAGGAGGAGGAGGAGGAGGAGGAGGAGGAGGAGGAGGAGGAGGAGGAGGGAGGAGGAGAAGGAGGAGGAGGCGGACCCTGTCCGCGCGGCTAGGGCCCGAGGCAAACTGGAGCCGAGTCTCGGCCTGTCGCATGGGCACGTCGACTGCTGGAGAGCGGCGTGGCCTGGCTCCGAGCACGGATGCGCAGTTAGACACCTGCCGCGATGGGCACCCCCAATCGCGCTGGCCACGGCACGGCCTTAGGTATGCGGAGGAGCTGGGAGGGGGTCACGCCCGACGTCGACGCCCCCTACGCCATCCGAGAGGAAGGGGACACGAGGGCAATCTTCTTGCGGGCCTGGGCCAGCTTGCCGCATCTGCATAAAGTGCGCTGCTTGACTTGCGAGAACGGGCGCAGCGCGCAGCCGCGGACGCCCGGAACCGCGGCGCCTAGTCCGGCACCTTGGGGAGCTTCGCGATTCGCTGCGCCGCCAAGCGCGCAAACGCCGCTGGGCAGCCCCCAGCGCAGGTCAAGTCGCCCAGGAGCAGGGCCGCGTGGCACCGCGCCAGCAAACGCTCCTGTCTTGTGGCGGTGCGCTGTCTGCTGACGTGCTCAAAGCGGCGGAGCTCTGCCGAGCCCCCTCTCGGCGCCTAGGTCGGCTGCCACTTCTTCGGCCGACGGTCGAAAGCTGCCATCTGTCTCACGAGCGATGGCCTCGGAGATCTGGCGGCCGGGCGAGAGCGAGGAGGCGACGACCGAAGACTTATCTGATATGTCAAGGCCCTGCGCTCGGGCTCCCCTGTAAAAATGGCCTGCCGCCTTGGGGGGCACATCAAGTACCTGGGCTTCCGTGCCCTCGGCTCGCTGATTTACATCGTCGACCCATTGCTGAATTGCGACGCGCGGGAAGTACTTGTCATGGGCATCTTGCAGCAAATTGTACAGCACACTTCGGGCATAGTTGTTTGCGCGTCTCTCTCCCGTTGACTGAGACCCGCGGGGAGGATCGCTTCGGCAATCACCCCTCGAGATCGAAGGAACCTTGGGGACAGGTAGATAGCGAGGGAAAGGCCGACCGCACGAGCCGGTGATCCTAGCCGGAAGGTGGCGGCAGCACAGTGGTGGGGTCGAGCGAACCATAGCACTCCGCAAACTCCCATAAGACGCTCCTGCTGCTGAAGCCCATCGCCTCGGCTGATTCGTCATAAAATAGCCTGTACAACGCGCGCTGGAGCGCAGAGCTGCCATTAACAGCTTCGCCCCAGTGGCCCGCGCGAGCCTCGCACCACTGGGCGCCTGGGCTTTTGCGAAGTTGGCCCCAAAGCCTGACGGACCATGGGAGGAAGGCCACGCCTCCTTCCCCCCCGTCCGGCTTCGGAATGAGACCCTCTAAAACGGAAAGCCACTGCCAGGGCCACGCGAGGGCCCCATCGCAGGCGTGGACTAAGGCCAAGAGCTCCGCCCTCGACTCAAGGGGGGGAGGCTCGAAGATCCGCGGGAGCCAAATTGTCCGAGCCCCTGCCCGTCGACGCTCGAGATCCCCCCAAGACGCGAGAAAGGTCTTCAAGAAAGAGGGCCGCCCATTCCTCCTGGCGGGCACGGCTGCAGCACTGCTCATGCAAGGACTGGAATCTAGCGAGGGTCACGGGACCCTTTCATCGCTCAGACCAGAATCTCGTTTCCTACTCATCATGGTGGCCAGATCTGTGCTGGCATCTTCAAGTGTAGCGCCTACTTCCATGACTGTGGTCTGACTCTCCCTATTCCACCGAATCACTTTGGATAGGGATTTGGAAGCGTTGTGCATGACCCAAGACGTAAACTGCGCTGGCTGATGCTTCGCTTGGATCCGCTCCACTCGATCGGAGATACAACCGATTGCAGAACTCATGGCCGCCAGCCGAGGCTGCGTCCAAGCATCGGCCAAGCGCAAAGCCGTCTGCCACCGGGATCTGGTGTTAAGTCGGGAATGTCCCCCTACAGAAAGATTTCGGGCGAAAAATATCAAATACTCAAAAGATGCCCCAAAATGGTATATAAAAAAAACTCCAAAAATAGTCCCCCGACTATTTTGGGGCTATTTGTTTTTATTATTGTTGGGGGTTTCTTTAATTGTTCGTCGAAAATCCCCCTGTAGGGGGACAGGCCCGACTTAAATCTGGTGGCCTCGCTGGTCGAGAGGAGGGACGCGCGCCCCACGAGGCACGCCGGCGGACAGCTGCCGCAGGCGGCGGGCCGCGGGCCGACCCGCTGCTCTATGAGGCGCCCCTGCTGGTCGAACCCCCGTGACGGGGCCCCAGGACACACAAATGAATACACACAAATGAAAATAGTCCCCAGATTTTCCCATATCTTCTGGGCTTCTGTCTTCCCCCCACTGCCCTTAGTTTCCCATATTTTCTGGGGAATCGACGACTCGTTGTATCTGTGTGCTTTTTCTCCTCCCGACCCCTGGCGGCGGCGTCCACGCACGCCGCCGCGGTGGCCCACCAGGCCGCCGCGCGGCCCAAGGAGTAGGCGCTGCCCTTGGGGGCTCGAGGCGTCTGCGACCTCACTCTTCCCAAGGCAGCGCTCGGCCGCAGCGCTTCGGCGCCTGGTCGGACGGGACCTGCGCGACGCCGGCGAGGCGATTCTCCAGCCTGGGTGACCCAGCGCCCGCACTTAGGGGAACTAAAAGTGACATAAACACAAGAACTCGGAGGTCCGCGCGGATTTCTCGGATCGGCGCTGGGGCCCCCCGGCGGCGCCTCCGGCGCCGCCCCTGGCGCGCTCCGCGCGCCAGGGAGGGGGGTCTGGCGCCGATGCGAGAAATCCGCGCGGACCTCCGAGTTGTTATGCTGTTGTCTTGTTTTGTTCCCCTAGCACTGGTCGCCCAGGGTCCTGGCCGCCGCCCGCGCGCCCTGATAGCTGCTGGAGCCCACGACGCCGCTGGCCGGCTGCTGCCGCCGCGGATCCGGCGGGAGCGGGGCGGCCCTGGCCCTCTGCCGAAGCTCCACGCGCGCGGCAGCCTCCGCGCGCAGGCCCAGCGGGCCAGACCTGCTGCCGGGGCGGCGCCAGACCGAGGAGCTCGTCGCGCCCCCGTGTCGTCGGCGGCGGCTTCCTCCTCCCCCTCCTCCTTGGCCTTCGCCGAGGGCAGTCTGCCAGGCGGAGGCGGGAGGGAGGAAGCGAGCATCTTCGATCGAGAACGGTCGGTGTCATGGCCGCGGACAGGGGCCCGCCACATCTGGGGCCCCAGCGTGGCGGGGGGGGTGGCCCGTGCCTCCACCGGGCCCTCCGCTGGGCCCTCGTCGTGATCCTCGCCGGCGGCCGCAACGATCGGCCTGGGACCGAAACCGACGGACCTGGACCCGCAAAAATGACGGCCGCGACGCCCTCTCGCGAACCGCAAACGGCCACTTCCGTAGTCGACGTGTCAGGGTAGGAGGTCCATCAATCTCCGAAACGACCCTCGCCCTGGCCCGCCGAGATCTCTTGCCGTCGGGATCCGCGGTTCGGGGCGGCTCGGGCGCATGGAGGAACCGCCTGGGCGCTGGCAGCGCCAGCGCCTCCGCCCGGACGCGCCCAGCTCAACACCCGCAATCAGGCCTACGTGGGATCTGAACTCGCCGCCGACGTGGGCGAGCAGCTGGCAAGGCCGGTGGACGCCGATGCCGCCCACCGCGCTGCAGTCCAGCATGCGGCCGCCGGTGTGCTGGGAGAAAGCGACGTCGGTGGGTGCAGCGATCTCGCCTTGGACCTCGGCCGGCCATGCGCTCTGCTGGAGCTGCTCCGGCGGCATGTTGAAGTCCCCGATAACCATCCAGTCGCCCTGAAGGCCGCGAACCAGGACGCCGACGGGCTGCAGCTTCCTGATATTGACGCCTGTGGCGCCAAGGCCATCGTACAGGCAGAGCACAACGATGGTAGGCGGCCCTCCTTGCATGTGGGTGGTAAGGGCTTGAAAGTCATGGCAGTCGACTGGTCCCGCCTCGAACGCGGGGGCCGGCTTCCTGCGCCGCAACTGCCCCAGCGTCTGATCAGCGCGGGCAGCGAGACGACACAAAGAGCGGTATTTGATGTGTCGGCGCACTCCGAGCGCGGCTCCGCCAGCATTGCGGCCGTGGTGGTCTCGCGAGGGGGTCGCCGCTGCTTTCCATGCCTTGCTGTCGAAGTCAGACAGCACCTTCTGCAACTCGGGCCCTGCGGCGTGCAGTTCGACCAGGCCCAGAACGCCTGCGTCCTCTGGGGGGGCACTCAGAAGGCGCTTGGCCCTGGGCCCCCCTTGCGTGAGATTTCGGATGTACATGGTTCTATCTGGGCGGAGGTCTGCCTCCTGACGACAGCGCCTATCGTCAAACCCCTCCTCGTGCAACCCGGAGGAGCCGCTGCACTCTCTCGCCCGTGGCGGCATCGGTGGCACCGGCGGCTGCGGGGCCGCAGCATCAGCGCCTGCGCCAGCCCCGTCGCCAGGGCAAGCAGAGCCAGAATGCGAGGCGGGGATCTATCCATATCCACCGCCTGGGAACCGACGTCCTGGTGCCCCAGCGGGCGGTGGATATGGATATATTTCGGCCCCCGGGGGCCCGAATATGTCCATATCCACCGCCTGCCGAGGCTCCGAAAACTGACCCTCCAGGCGGTGGTCATGTATAAATTCTCGCCTCGGACAGAAGCAGGAGCAGCAGCAGCGCTGTCCGCGGACGCGGCTGCGGGACCGGCGCCTGCTGGCCGGGGCGCAGGCGCCTTCTGGCGTGGCCCGCCGCCCGCGGCGGCGCTGTCACCGGCGCCGGCGCGGGCCGCTGCAGGGGCTGGTTCCCCGTCATCTGGCGGCCCGGTCTTCCGCTTCTTCTTCTGGAGCCGCTTCCAAAGGGGCGTCCGTCGCTTCCCAGATCGAGTGGAGGTTGCCTGCCGACGCCCCGAAGATCTCCTTGACTTTCGTCTGCAGCTCCTCGGCGAAGCGCTTTTGGAGGGCGTCGAGCTGGTCCTTCTCCGACTGGTCAACGTCCAGGTCGCTGACATCAAAAGCCGGGCCAGCCTCAAACTCCAGGGAGCGTGGGTCCGCCTCCAGCAACATGGTAAGGTTGAAGGCGGGATGCTGGGCAGCAACTGGCCGCGGGGCAGCCGCCATGTTCTCGTCCTTGCCGTTGCCGCCGCGGCACTTGGTGAGCACCTCGAGGGCTTTCTCGGCAGCCGTCTGGGCAAGGACCAGCTCGTGGGAGGCCCGCTGGCGGTCGGAGAGCCATTCCTGGGCCTTGCGCTCCGACTCGACGGCGCGGTCCATGGCAGTCTGAGCCCTGCGCTCAGCGGCCGCCGCGCGGTTGTAGGCCTGGTTGGGGTCCTCGGGTTTCGGCGCCGTCGCGGGCGGGACGGCACTCTTGAGGGCCTCGAATGCCTCCTTCTGGGCAGCGGGGAGAGCGGCCTCAAGGCGATGAGGTCGGCCGCGCCCGTCGATGGTGGAGGATTTTGGTCGGGGTCGGCGCGTTGGCCGCGGCGGCGACGGGACTGGGGCCAAGACGCCGAGTCCTTCCAGCCGTCCCGGCCATCAACGCTGTTCTGTTTGTTGGCGACATCGTCCTGATCCCAGCGCTGCTGCCCCCAAACTCCCGACGCCGGCTCGTGGTCTGCCACGGACAACTCCAGCGGCTTCTTGCAGCCGAAGCACCGATCTTTGCCGCGCCACGTCCACTCGTAGCCGCAAAAGATGCACGTTGTGTATTGGTTTCTGCCGTAGCCATGAGACATCGACTCTGCTCCAGCAGGAGCTCACAAATGGAGGTCTGCTCACCCGCGGGCGCAGGAGGCAGGCGATGCGTGGGGCGGACCACGCAACGCTCAGCCTGGGGCGGACCAGGCGACAGTTGAAATCGAGCCGCGGTAACAGCGGTATCCAGTTTGGCACAAGGGCGCGGAGCCCTTCAGTGCAGAAGTCTTGAGCCAAAATTGCTTCAGCCAAAAATGGCTACGGAGGAGGAGGAGGAGGGGGCGGAGGAGAGGGGGAGGAGGAGGAGGAGGAGGAGGAGGAGGAGGAGGAGGAGGAGGAGGAGGCTGAGGAGGCTGAGGAGAAGGAGGCGGAGGCGGAGGAGGAGCTCAGGAAATTCGCGGCCCCATGGGGCCCTTACCTAGCGTCTGGTGCTGTGATGGGTTGTGTGCTACACACCCGTGGCAGGACGCCCGGTTCGGATGTGCCGTGGCGACGATGGTCAACTTCTCTGTCGGTTCTTCCTATCACGCTCACAAGCTAGTTGCAGAATTGCAGGCGGCTGTCTGCACATCAAGTATGCGAAGGGCTCGGTGGTGAAGAAGATCTCATGCCCCAAGACCCGACTCTCACTGGTTACGCCGACCTACTGGCGGTACCTCCTGAGTAAGGCCAGGGGCTCGGAGAGGTCTGGCCGCCCAATGCTGGGGAGCTGCATGTCTTGCTGTGAGGGGAAGGTCCCGTCTGTGCCACCCGTTTTCTCCTTGATGCTTCCTCCCCGTAGGAGGGGGAGGAGGGAGGAGGAGGAGGAGGAGGAGGAGGAGGAGGAGGAGGAGGAGGAGGAGAAAGAAGACGAGGAGGAGGACGAGGAGGAGGACGAGGAGGAGGAGGAGGAGGAGGAGGAGGAGGAGGGGGAGGGGGAGGAGGAGGAGGAGGTTGTAATGCCCATCCACTGCAAGCGATATCACCCTCGGCCTGCCCGCCTGCCCACTTTTCAAGTGTGGGCCTTCGCCCGGTGGCGCCCGAGGCGTTGGCATCATCCCCTCGTCGGCTCTGGTGCTGCCTCTGCTGGGTCATTCGCCCTCTGGTCTTCTCGCCGTTCTCTCACCATCGTGCGAATCGAAGGTCTTGCGATTCGGCCGATCGACCGACCAAGGAGGAGGATGGGAGACGTTTTTGTCCCTGGACAGCTCGTCTGCAAGGTCTCTTCCTCTCTCCCTCTCTCTCTCTCTCTTTCTATCTCTCTGTTCTATCTGTACACGCTATAACCACGCGCGCGCGCTTCGCGCACGCTCAGGTCCTAGTGCGCAAGCCAGTGTCGCATCAGCAGATGGGCACGACCACCCCTTCACAACGAATGAGACGTGGGGGACATAAGTCCGATTGAGGGGCCGAACGGGCTTACACGCGTGCCTGGATGCGTTAAAGTATGTCGTGATGTTGCATGGTGTTACGTGGTGTAACGTAAGCCAGCGAATCCAAAAGTCAATGAGGAGAGGGGTACAGGAGAAGGGAATTGTTCGGCCCCGGGAACCGTCACTAACTTCTCTGAGATCCATCACACTCGAGAAACTCAAAAACCTGGATCGACGAACCTCGATCCTCGATCGCCGAACCTCGAACCGGCTCCTCCCAAACCCCCGACGTCTCCATGTTTTCAATACTGCAAGCCCCGACACAACATCCTTCGGAGAAGTTCTGTCCTGAGTCCTGCGTCGTTTTCGTCCCGAGTTGTTTTGGACTGCCCCGGGGGAGGGGGGGGCCCGAGAACGGAAGAGGCCGAAAAAATAGCGAAAAAAGCTCCCCCTGATTTACTCGAGTCGTCGAGGGCCCTCGCGGAAGCCTCGCGAAGCCTCCCGGGAGTCACGTGTGGCCTCACTGGGGCGTCTTCGATGCCCACTGGGGACTCCCGTGCTTTGGGGCTATCTGGGACCGTCTTGGCGGCCTGAGGGGCCGTCTTGAAGCCATCTGCGACCGTCCGAGGTCTCAGAGAAGCCTCTTGGGCCGTCTTGCG